GTGTCTGCTTCTTTGTCTCTGAAACCAACAGACGATGCACCATGCAGCAGGCTACAACTATCTGTTCCATCTCCTAAAGTAAACATTACTGATTTGGTTTGATTTTTTTTCTCTGTGTGTGGCAAATACAAAGAAGTCAGAATGTCTCTGCATAACACCTAGAGATATGTAAGAAAGACTTTTTTTACAGTTTAGGTCTTGGAAAAAAATGCTGTGCAGCACTGCAGGGCAACAGTAACTAATACTAACAGGAACGTTTTCAGTTCATCCCATTGTGTTCAGTCATGTCTGTTTCGGGTCTTGAATTAGATGAGACATATGAAAAGTTTTATTTATTCTCTTGAAAAAAAATTATCTTTTATTTCTGAGAAAGTTGGATTTGTATATTTTTTCCTCTTGAATACAAAGATACCTATGTGCCCATTTTAACAATATACAGTGCTAGAGCAGACAGCGAGACAAAAGTCTCAAATATATAGAGTTAAACATAACCTCAACTACCAGTCTTTGTTATCCATGGATGACAGCCCGGTTAATAAATGTTTTCTCACTAGGATGCTGAACTAGTGGGAGTTAATGTTGAAACACATCTACAACATACTCCAGACGCTCAAGGCAAGCAGACACATCACAACCATAACAGCAGTGGCATGCACACAGCGTACCTATATGGGAGTAGAGTTAGTTGAACTTGGGTTTTCGCACTCACTAGCCCACGTGCAAACACTATGTAAGCAAAGAAATTTGGGCGGGGAGAAGACTGGCTCATATTTTGGATATGTTGCTTGAAAACGGTGCTTACTACTGGCAGGCATTTATATTGAGAAAAGGAAAGAGGGAAAAGATGAAAGAGGAAAGATTTTGGCAGAGGCTGTAGTTCAGGCATGCAGAACAGATATCCTAGTCCACATAATCATAAAAGTGTGTCTGCTTGCTAGACTTGCTGTGTATCTCTTTCCAGTTAGGTTTCTGTCTTTAAATGTAAATGACATAGTATTGCCTTTAGACTTTGTGATTCACTAGACCAGAGCCAAAAAGAGTTCAGATATGAAAAATGTTTTGTTACATTTTCCATTAAAGGAACAGTCTTATTCTAAGAGAGTAGAAGCCTGAATTGTATCCATGGTAGTTTTCTCCTCTTTTTCAACATCTGTCCATGTTTTGTTATCTGGATTAAGCATAACATTAGGGAGAAGGTGGCAGAACTGAACACAAGTAATTTCTTTATTTATCTTTATTTAAAAGCCTTTACAAAGAAATACAGAAAAATCCATGATTCTCCATTTCTGCAACAGAAAAATTCCTAAAATATGTGACCTTGCGATGGTTAAAAGATAGCCAAGAGCCGAAGCTGGGCAATGTTTTTATCCCAGTTCAGCCATGTCATGGGTCATGTGGTTCAGCATGTGAACAGGAAGGTGAGAATGGGTGAACTTTTGCCTCAGTTGTGCAGTCCATCAGAAAATAAATGGAGCAAATCACTCTGCAGCTGTATCAGGAGGTGAACGGCTGAATACCTCTCACACAGAGGCCTTTGTGTTCTGGACATGATCTAGCATTATGATGGGACGCACTAGGCTGAGGCTTTGTAGCAATTACTAACCCATTATCACGCTAGAACATGAGATCATTTATCTTCTAATTCAGAGTGTCACCTGTTCTTCATTTGCCAGTCAATAACCATTAATTACTTTCAGTGGAAATTTAAACAAAGCTTTTCCCCTCTGTTAAAACCAGTAAGCCATTCAGTAATGATAAATAAACCTAGAGCTGTATCTCCCTCTTTCCTCTCATTCTCAGCCTGGAGTCTGGTACAATATGAATTCTTAAAGGAAATGCCTAGAAATTGATAGGTCAAGAGCCTTTATTAGTCTGATGTGGGGGGAAGCACATTCCTGGCACTTGCTGTAGGGAAAGCGTATCGCTACTGCTTGTACACATATGTCTCATTGGTTGTCATGGGCTGCACCTGTGGAAATATAGATTTGACTGTGGAACTTATTCAAAGTTTTTTCTCTCTTCTGGCTTGCCTTGGCATTTTTTTACAGACTGTTCATGCAGACACATTCAAAGCAACAGCATTTCGTCACCCTCCTCGAAGCAAAACAGAACTATCACTTACTTTGTAAATTTTAGCATGTTAAGTTTTTTCATACCTGGTTGGATCGAGGTAACTGTAAGTGCCAACAATTGTGAATGCCAGAAAAAATAAAAGAATTAGCAGTGATAGATTCTCAAGCAATCATTAAGTTAAACATTCTTTCCTGGTAGGTTTTGAGGCAAAAGTTGCTTTTAGCAACTCTATCTGCATTGTTTGATCACTGCTAAGTTGATTCTGTAAAAATTTACTGCAGTTTAAGTTGTATTTCTAAGACAGTGATTGCTTCTTTTTTGAAACAGTAGACAAGAGCTGATACACCCAAATGCATAAAACCTGGTTGGACCCACTGTCAAAGGCTGGGTTTTGTCAGTATTTTGGAGCTGTCTCCTTTGATGTAGGGCATATTTTATAGTAAAGAGAAACTTTCAATGCTATTTTATATTAATATGCAAAAGGAATGCGTAAATATTTTAAATACTCACTGGATTATTCAATGTTTTAGCATAAGCACCCGCACTAAAATTGTGTCTAATGAATTACAATACTGAGGTGTTTAAAAGTGGGAAGTGGCAAAAAATTGTTGAAAGTCTGATCCTGGCTTCTGTTTAGACATTTTAATACCACTTTACCAAAGGTCATAGTAAACAGCAAGTGCTTATGCTACTATTGCATATTCGGTCAACCTATGTGGCATTTGGGGCTAAGGGGTGATTTTTACCATCAATGCGGTTATGTTGTCACATATCTCTCAAATGTAACTGACATTACAGTGCCAGGGTGAGAACTTGAGTTCATTATATATGGGAAACATCCACTAAAGTCAGGAGAAGAACCACTGTTAGTTCTGCCTCTGTCTGACTGATTGTCTAATCTTGGAAATCCTTTTTTGCTCAAATAATGCCCTCTCATATGAGGAAGCATGTTGTTTTCAGCTGGACTGCTTAACGAAAGCCGAAGGTCTGTGAAATTAGGGACCAGGCTAGGAGAAACAGAGCTATCAACCACCCATTTCAGATATTCCTGTTACCTTTCTGTGCAGCTGCTACAGCTGTAAATCCTGCAAGCTTGTCCAGTCATGAAGAAACAGGAGTTGGTGATTTACAGTGACCTCTCAAATCATCAGGGAAACCCCAGTGCTCCAAGAAAGCTAATATGAGAGATACAAGTTAAGACATCTCCTCCCCACAAGAGGAGTTTCATTAGCCAGTTGGGTATTTCTGCGTCATTGGTTAGGATGTTCAATCCTGGAAAGGAAAAATAAAGTTGCTGCCATTGTCCTGCCCAGCAGGTCATCTCCCTAAAGCACAATTAATGTCAAGGACTTACACAGCAGTTCCCCAAAACCCAGCCTTCCGTGCGCGTTCAAGAAGCAAAAGGGTTCAAAAGGAACATGTTAATAAAGTCTTGTCAAAACTTTGGAAGATGCATAAAATATTAACTGGGAAGAAAAATGACTTGGAAATAGAACCATTTAAGTGGAATGTATTGCCTTGCTATGCAGGACACTGATTTATTAAGAATAGGAGGGAAAAATTGAATATTTCAGGTGGTATTTACCAAGAGAAACTGAGCTGTCCCAAAGCTTTTATTAATCTGATTTGCAGAGTATCCACTACCATCAAGGGACCTACTAAAGTTGTTTTCTTTAAAGCTGATGTGAAGAGGTCAATGCAAATAGCATCGTGGATTACACTGTGAGAGGATGACAGTCCTTTCTACCATATGGAGAGAGAGTTGAATTATTTTGTTTTCCCTTTTTGGTTATTTATTAAATGAAGATCATGCCATACAGGTATTCCTGTTTCCTTGCCAAAGGAAATGAACCGTTTGCATCATTCTGATTGATCCAAAGTAATAATTATTCTGTCCACCTACAGCTCCTATGCAGTCAGATAGTCCAGTCACTGCGGCAGTGCCTTTTGCATTAGAAAACTGAAATGTACCTGCCACCATACCTTAGACAAGTCACACGTGTCTTTGCATGCTTCTTTTTCCATCTTTTTTCTGTTTTTCATGCTGACTTAGCTGGCCAGGCCTCTGAGATGGCACTCATCCATCATTACTTTTTTGTGGGAGGGGACTCTGTGAAAGACTGCTGCAGGAATTAAACCTGCTCCCCTGAAATGCAAAGATGTTGACAATCCCATGAAGTGTTGCTTCAAACCATATTGCGAACCTTTTGCTGCACAAACAGTTCTCTGAAAGTGATGTTAATTGTTGTCTCGCTTTTCCACCAGTGTTTTCTGTTTTCCTGTGTCAAAAGAAAAAGTTTCTTCTACAGTGCTTCAGTATGTAACATTCAGCACATACTCAGCAGGAAAAACAGATTCATTTGATCAAATACGCTGTTAAACATCCTTAGTTACCTTTTAAACTCTTTTATTCTTAATTAAAATCTTCACTTGGGAAAAACAAATATGACAGAAGAAAGAGTGAAAAGGATCCATATTTTCATGCCTCAGTGTATTTAACATCGTTCTATAACAGACAGACAACAGCGCTCTAGACTGAAACATTACAAAATTTTGTTCTTTTCTCCATATCAATGTCAATTCATGCAGTGCTTTAAACAAGTGAATCCACTCTGTTGAGCACTAAACCAAGTCTCAGTGTTCAAAAGTAAACATATTAAAGTCTCCCCTGCAGAAACCCCTGCTGTGAAACAAATTGAAAATCAAATACAGCGTTGTTTTCTATAATAAGAAATAATTGGACTCTTTTTAGAGTTGCACTGAACTGGTTAATAGCCACTGTGTAAGGAAAGTGCTAATTTCCCCAGCTTGAGATATGTGTGTGTACGTCTAGTTATTTCCAAGTCAAAAATGCAGTAATACAATATCGTGTACCAAAGGGGCCACTTACATGTGCACTGAATCTGACTTTGTTTACCTTTCTGCAGGCCATGTGGCTGATGTTGCAAACGGATGAGCCTGAGGACTTTGTCATAGCTACTGGGGAGGTCCACAGTGTCCGTGAATTTGTGGAGAAGTCATTTAAGCACATTGGGAAAACCATCGTGTAAGTACAAAGATAAGAGAGCAGCCACAGGTTGAACATTTCTAGCATGTCACATTTGCTGTCTTACAGAGTATTGTTTGTCTACATTCTTCTTTTTTCCTCCCCTCACTTTCTAATAGTAACATGTGAGACCTTCCAGGCACAAATGACTGCCACAGTGGATATGTCTAGTGGTGCTCTCTAGATCACAAGTAAAAATGTAAGTGGGTTAATCTTAATTTTTTAGTCAAGGTCTTCATTTGCTGCTCTCCCATTCACTCCCTGTCCTGGGGCCACAGATGCCCTTCCAAAGATGGGCACTGTTAATGCTGTTCATCACCCTCCCATGAAAGGAGCTTTTCTGCCCAATTCTTTATTTTGTGTCCCTAGATCCCCTCAGTCCTGCTCCCATCCTCTGTGATCTGAAGAGGTGACACCTGCCAATCCTATTCTTTCCACACGACAGCCTGTCAGCCACACTACAACACTTATGTAGCAAACCACTCTACATTCCTATTAGCTCTTCTCCTTCTAAGCCATAGAAATCTTGAGCAGTGGGTGCAGAATGTTTACAATGCATATTCCACATAGTTTGATTGAAAATACAAAATTCCTTCTCAAGGCCGTATAATAAAACCAGGATGGCTTGGTGAGCGCTTTCTGTAATTTATATTTTTATTGTTTATTATTTTTTCAATTTCCCTCCTTCTGTATCTTCTCTGGGCCCCATGCATCAACATACCAATCTCAGCTGGAAAAGGGAGAGGAAAGCCACAGGCTCTTCCATGACGCTAGCACCAGGGCTGTTCCTCGGGCCATCAAAGTCACTTGTGCAGCTGGTGAACTTTTGACAGGGCCAATAAGTTTTACTTGGGAACAAAAACTTGACAAATTCAATAAATATGCAGAAGTGCACAGATATATACAATATTATTTGAACAGCCAGTGGGTGGCTGGGAGGTAATAACATTTTCTTCTCAATGAGTTTTTAGTGTCTGGTTTCAATTTTTGGCATCAGCTTCCAGAAAAAAAAATTCTGATGAGGGAGAGAGACTGTATTAACAGTATTTCTAACCCAAAGGATCAGTTTGGGGAATAAGTTTCTCTCCATAATTTTAGCATTTCTTGACTGCGAGATGTCCCTGTGATCACACATTGTGCCATATGCCTTAAACACTAGTGAGGTTTGAGAGGGTAAAGAGGAGTTAGTAGGAGCTCTAGTAATAGTTTTGTCTTTCTTATTTTTTCTTCACTTTTTATACTTTTCTTTCTTGTATTTATAACCTAATTCACTCTAGTAAGCATGGATAAGAAAATGCTGCAAATTCAATTGCTCCGTATAAGAAAGAATTCTAGTGATTTTGAGAACTACTTTGCCCCTGTCTAGTATTGTTTATCAAAACAAGAATGAATGTTTGGTAAACAACTTCTTTTTTTTTTTTAATTTTGATTACCTACAATTAGAAAATTATACATATAGGTTGCTACGTATCTGAATGTCTTTATTTGCAGTGGTTCCCCACATTACAGTTTCTTTTGATGTTAGTAAATTTATCCATTAGTTTAAAATTGAACTCCCTGCTTTAGAGTTGGCCTAAGGAGTCTCAGCATTTCCCAAGAGTGACAAATCCATGTGTATTTTTCAGAAAGCAAATTAAACCCTCAAGAAAACCTAAAGGAAATAACAAGTCCACAATAAAAGTGAAAGTACTTTTATGAATAGCTTCTGTTATAGAGGGGATATTAAAGGCTTAGTTTAGATTTAGTTGTTCCTAACACTCCCAATTTTGTGTCCTGTTTAATTTTTACTCACATATGGCACTATGTGGTGGACTGCATATCATTCATGTTGGTGTTTACTGCAGTCAGTGTTTGGATTGAATCAATCAGTCACAAGTTGCTCTCTTAGAAAAACTTCACAGTACAACTCCAAATGATGAGGTAGGGCAGGTATTTTCTGTGTACAAAGGCATAGTGGATTTTTTAATTACTAATCAAAAAAGTAATTTTCAAAAATTGTATGAGAACTCACATGACACCGATTGACATGGATTTTTAAGAACATAAATTACTTTAGAAATGGGGGCTTGGCTCTTCTGAAATTTTTCTTTCTTGTGAACAAGTTATTAATTCCTTACGTCATTTACAGTGTATAACTGCATATATGGAGACTAAGGTGACATTTAAATGCTAATGATAATTGTTGCTGATCATTTTGGCAATGGTGCAATTCTGAACGTTTTGGATATAGTCCGTCCTGATAAACCAGCCATTCTTTCCCTGTGCTCTCAGGGTGGGAATAATGTCTCAAGAGATCTACTACTCATCTTTCAAATTGCACTAGATGTAAAATATTTCTCAGGATTTGGAAAGTTTTGTTAAGACCCTCCACAATTTTTCTAGGTGTCAGCCTGACCCATGCTTTTGCAGTGCATACACACACAGACACACTCTCCTTGCCCTCGCTGGCTTCTTGGCCAGCCAGCTGGTAACCTCTCACATTCTTTGAAACCCCCAACAGCTTTCCACTCCCACCTCCTCCAGTTTGAATATATCTTCTTCAAGGAATAACCTGGCAGCAAAATCCTCCCTTTTAGCATTGTGGGACCCCAGTGGTGAGTCCCATTGATCTGTTACTTTACAATTTATGAGGCACCTAAGAAGCAGTACACCAGAGTGCAATTGCTAAACAATTTCCTGGGGGGATGGCTGCTTTCTTCCTATCTCCCTTCCTCAGAGTTGTGTTGAGTTGTTTGGGGTTCCTGGGGTTTTTTTGCAGGGTTACTGGTATTATGAAATTTTGCAACCTCAAAAACTTATCTGGGAAATTTACAGCACCTTTTCCACTGCTATAAGTGATGGCAAAGCCTCCCAGTATTGCTGTGCGATCTGCCTTTCAAAATTGATGGAATGATGGAGTAAATGACCAGGATGGATGTCGTGGCAAACAATAGTTGGCAGAGCTCATGCCACATCTGAGAACACTGGGCACATGTGCAGGGACTCCTAACTCTTTGTGCTTTGTTGGGGAAAGTTATGTAAAATCTTAGCTATCACATCATGATATTGCAGTAGAGAACAGGAAGAAAAGCAATCCTGGCTTTTCATCAACCAGCTAAAAATATGAATTTTATTTTTTTAGGTTTTTTGTCTTCCTAACAATTCACATTAACTTGTACAGCTGAAAATCCAGGACAGCCTAAAAAGTCTTTCCAAGAACATAACATAATATTCTGTTCTAGACAGTCATTAGCACATGTCAGGACTATGTCTTCCAGCCAAAATAAGAGAGAGAGAAATTTTACTACATTTTTGTAACTAATGAAATGTACAGCTGCAATAAGACTGATTCTCTCTCTGAAATTGACTGTAAACTGTACACAGAAGTTTATCTAACTTGTCTGGTTGTTTTCTTCTAACATTTCTTTTTCAAGGGAGAAATTTCAAACTATATTTATATAGTCCTCTGAATCATTCAAATTCAGCCCTTTGTACTACCAGGAAAACCTCAAAGCTACAAATATTTTCCCTTGTAAGGATTACATTTTTTTTCTTTTACTTTCCTTTCTACTTATTACTAATTAAGTAGTACTTGGGGGAAACACTTCCCGCCTATAATTTGAACTACAGCAGGGTACACGAAACAGGCAAACGCTTGTCTTGACTAATTTTCTGTCATTAATCTTATTAAATTAGAACAGGATTGCGAAGATAGCCTGAAACCACTACAGCACTCAGAGATCTTTGCAGACTGCTAGAAAGACTGCTGTCTGCAAATGAGGAAAGTAGAAAAAAGCAAAAGAAAAGAAAAAACTGTTCAAGCTGCAGAAAGATTTATTGTTGGTTTTATTAATATAAAAATACATGCACATTTGTTACAGAAATAGTCATTGCTTGCAGGATCAGAATTAATTCAGAAAAAAATGAATATTTTACTCCAGTCATTTGGCTCTACATACAAATTTTATCTTAACTAATGTGCTAGTTGGTCTTATAAACGATGACCTTAAAAAGGGGAAGTTTGCAGATAAGCTATAAGGTCTAATGAGGTGAACTACTAACAAAAGTGGAGCAGTGACCTCTTCAGTGACAGTGAAGGTTGAACTGAAATTTAACTGAGGGCAGAGGGTTTTTCTGGTTTGTTTGTTGGTTTGTTTTTTTTTCTTTTTACCCTGAAGTAGAAGGTTGGGTTACAGAAACACATGAGATTTGAAGGATTGCTGTGAGAACAGCAAGCCAACAATATGTTAATAATGGTGCTGTGGGGACATGGAAGAGGAGCCATCAGAAGTCAACAGCAAAACAGCTGCTATTTCCAGTCTGGTTTGCCCATCAAAAAGTGCTGGCTAGCTAGTGCTATGTGTTGTATTTACCAGCTCAAGAAACTCAGACGCTTTCAGATAAAGAAGAAGGGAACAGGATCTCATGCAGGAACTGGAGGCATTTTGAAGAGAGTTGAGAGGAACCCAACCAGGTTGGTGAAGAGTGCTGGCCTGGGTGAACACACACGAGCATGGGTCCTTGCTTAGGACTGTACCATTTTTGTACTTTCTTATTGATATAGGGTTTTATCTGTAGGCAGACCCAATAATAGTTCTGTTTCACAATTCAAATTACGGCTTGAAGACTGTAAAAATTTAATTATCTGATTTTATACTTCATAAGAGGTGTGACAGTTTCTTCTATACGAAGACTGGGTGAGAATGAAATATGGAGTTTCATGGGAGATTCCGTATTCCCCACCCCCAAAATTAAATTAAAATATTTCTTACAAATGCAGTTCAGGAAATTATCTGATTTCAGGTCAGCTGGACATACATTTAAAGAAAGAATAACGTAAATAGAAGTTTTAAAGCCATTCGAAAGAAAAAAAATTGATTCTGAAGATGTCAAAGCATCTCCTTTATATGCTATTAATATAGTTTTGTTTCAGGTTGACACTAATGTAACTTACTTGAAATTACAACTTTTCTCTTCATAATGCTTTGATTTTCACTGAAGCATTACTATTGTTTCAGCAAACATTTTCTTCTCAACACCAAATTTCACAAACTGGAGTGAAGAGATAGAGCTTCAAAAGCTTTCCAATTAACTGGAAATACGTAAAAAAAAAAAAAAAAGGGAGCCTAGCATGTATTCTTTTTTTAAGTCTCGTAATATGGGGAGTCACAATTTAGATTTTTGAAATTCGAGCTTGACAATGCATGCACTACAACAACTATAGCATTTTTTTAACTGTGTTTGTCTAATGAAAAAAGCATTGAAGAGCTGATTCACCAGAGCTTTTGAAAAAGAAATTTTAGGTACATTCCTTTATGGAATACTTTTTCTTTTGATTTAAGCACAAGGCTGTGGTTACGCAATCCCTATATCCTTGATTGCTTTGATGCGTCAGAGCTGCTGGCGAGGTTGGTGGTTGAGTTGGTGGCAAATGAACATATAAAGAGTCATGCTTAAAGTTTTCCTTCAAAAGATTACTTGCAAAAGATATTAATGGTCTGTTATATGGTGTCAGTTTTGCTGTTTATAAAGTGCCAAGACAGAATGAAGTGCTTTGGCTTAATTTTGCATGCAACAGAAATCAGGCCACAGATCTGAGAAGTCTACACAAATGGTATATCATATTACCTGTGGAGGAAGAGCAAAATTTTCCTAAAATTTTATTTTTATTTAATTTATTTTTCATTTTTAAATGTAAAATTATTTTCTATGGCATATAGAAAATATGCCTTTCATTTTAAAGGTCTACATGATTGTTTTATTTTCCATAAAGAGGCTGAGCAGCTGTAGACATTAATGGTTTAAAATGTTTTTTTAAATACCATCAGTTCTGTTTCTATGTAAAGATCAAACAAGGACATGAAATGCATATACTTGTTCAGTTTATCTGTGCTTCTGTGAAAGACTTAATTTTTAGTTGATTTCATGACCACCACAGAAATATATGTACTTTGCTTTGTTTCTCAATTACATCCGTTCAGACCATTTGGTCCATTGCAGTGCTATTCCCACCACTCCTCAATTATCCTGGCTCCCCTGTCTCCTTCCCTGCCCAGCTCACACTCCACCAGGTGGGTACCCCTGCTTTTCATCCTTACAAAATCCTCTTTACCTGTGGATGTTTTTATAGCTTGAAGCTTGTTCTCTTACTGAATAGTTATAGGAAATGAAAAATAATTGGAATCTCCAAAGTTGTAAAACACAAGGAGCATTGGTCACTGCTGATAATAAGTATTATGATAGTAGTGATCTCCAGGTATGGAATTAGCCTTAAAGTAAATGCAATCCATCCCTCTGTAAATCCAGAATTTAAAAGCTCTTGAGGTGAAGAACTTTTCAAGCAAGTAAACTCGCACATGCATTTGAAATGTAACTAACTTAGTTTTATGGGAATTTCTGAGGTCCTCGATAGCAGTGATATCCACCATAGTCAACAAGTGACTATCATTCTAAGCAATCCCAAAGAACCCATCTCCAACAGTGAGGCACTCGACATGGAAGTGTAGATGCAAAGGGCATCAAACCTGCTTTGTTGGTAGCAAGTGCAGAACATTCTGGCCTATGGCTGATGCCACCAGTTGTGACAGCAAACCCATCCTTTGCTTCAGTGAGAGGGTTAAGCTACACAGTGTGGGGCAGGCAATGGCCTTGCTGTAGAGGCTTGTTGTCTGCAGGACCAGCATTTTGTGAAAAGCCTCCAGTAGGCCAGCAGGTGCCTGCCTGGTAGCTCTGGGCTTTGACATCAGCTGGGGTTTGGGGGGATCCACTCCTCATCATCTATAAATTTAGCCCAGTCCTGATTAGCCAAACTTACTTCAGTGTTTCCCCCAGGTTACACAAGACTGTTTTCTTGCCTGTGTGGGCGTTGGCCCTAAGGAGCAGAAATTGGGTAGTCTGTGGCTGGAACTATCTAAAGCCACAGCAACACAGGGGTTCCCCATGCCTCTTCCACCACGCTTGTGCTTCGAGATAATTTGGCATGACATCTTCCAGTTAAAAATTCTGACGGCAATTTGACTATAAATTAAGGAGGGGTTTGGTGGTTGTTTTTTTTTTTTTTTCTCTTTCCTTGTGATTAGAGAGGGGAGGGGGAGTTGGTTGATGAAATGGATGTCTTGGCGCTGGTGTCAGCCTGGCCCTTGCACAGTCCCTTTTATCAGCAGTATGGTGTCCCCAGCTGTGAGCATAGAGGTGCCAAGAGCAATTAGAAGTGCAGCTATCAAATGTTACTTTGTTCACAATGTACTTTTCTTTTTTTTTTTTTTTTTTTTTTAACTTGTGAACTTTTCACATTACTGGGCTGAACAGAACGGGTGGAGATTTCTTCTTAAGCTATTTGTATTGTTATATAACTTTGATAGCAACATTAAGTGAGTCTTTACTGGCTCGACTGAGCCTTCTGGAGCCTGTTGGGTGTTAAATGGGGTTCTCTGCTCAGTGACCTCCAACAACTGACGTCTCCTGATCTAAGCGCTTCCTGTTGTTTTACTGGTGAGGGTTAGTTTTCTATTAAGCTCATTTGAGTCCTGCACATCTTTACCCTCTGCCCCTTAAAGGGAGGGGCTAATGTTAGTTTTGGCTTCTGAATGAAAACTTTGCAGTTCAGGCTTAAAACAGAGCAACTGCAAAAAAGAAAGAAGGAAAATTTAAATTATAAATCATCTTTAGCATCATGGCATGACCATTAACAGCTGACTTCATTGTCACTATTATCTGTTGGAAATTATTTCAATGCTAAGTGTTCCCAGTATCAAGCATCCCACAGGCTTTGCTAGTCATTCAGAAGTCATGAGTTGTGTTATAAAAATTGTGGGATTCAAAAACTAGTAATAATGCATATTTGGTATTTCTTTCTCCCTTTCAGTGTCTTAACTTTCATGAGCACACAGAGGTCACATCTTCAGACTTTTCTCCTTAGCCCTCAGGGCCAGAAACTCAAAAATGAAGGCTGAGATTATCAAAGAATTAAATTCTTCTAGAAGCTTCAGGAGAGGGGGTGGGGGGTTCGGGTGGGAGGGTGGAGCAGGGGAGCAAGGAGAAATCAAATCTTTGACAAAATCCCAAGAGCTGACAGAACAATTAGCAAGTGGGAGGCAAAGGTTGCTTTTCTTTCCTTGCTGGTGACTGAGGCGAACTAGTCTAAATCACAGTGCTGATTTAAATTATATGGATTTTACTTAAACATAAAAAAAAGGTAGTTGACTTCATCATCATATTTTTATGCCAGGCTGGTGCAGAGCCCTATGGTATATACTTAGTGGGAAAAAGCAAAGAGAGGATAGATTTTCAATCATAACTCTGGATTTTGTATATTCAATGGATTAAGTTTGATGCACCGATGTATGTTCCTACACAAGTCATCTGAAGCATTTATTTTGAGTGGGAGTATTGTCCTCAGGCATCGAGGCTGCAGGCTGACCTCCCAAAAGGCAGAGCTAGTCACCCACCAAACTGTTCCTCTTCTGTTGCTCCTGAAATTTTAGACCAGGATGGTCTCAAAGAGAAGAGTTCACAGCGCAACCAGATCACATAAATTGCAGCAAATTGCAGGCTGTTCAACACATATGAAACTAATTTGGATAAAGTAGCTGTCTTTCAGCTCACAGATAGTAAGTAGCGTTTACAATACATGTATGTGGAGTGCCATGTTGAGGTAGGACTAAAACCTAGTAACTGTTTTTGTTTTGTTTTTTTTTTTTCCTAGTTAAGCACAAATTAAATTATGCAGCTTAATGCTATTCAAACAGAGCTTCACGTCTATAAAATTAACAGATTAAAGAGTTCCTGAAAGTATTGGCCGAAATACAAGAATTAAAAATATTTTAAGAAAACAACTTTGAACCAATCCACAAATGAAAAACCTCACTGTCATATTTATTCGCAGATACATGAGACATTATGAAATAAGGATATTTTATTTTCCCTTAGCATTATGTGTTTAATTTGGAAGTCTTGTATTTTAGACCTTCCACTGAATCAAAAACCAAAACAAAGAGACTTCAAAAGCCACTGTTGCTCCATTCAAGTCTAAACTCTGCCTTTGTTCCTATAGCTAATGAGTTTATACTGTCCTGCAGGGAGAATCGACACCAGCCTCAAGTAAATGAAAGAAGGCCAAATGTTGGTAAGATCAGAGCACTAAAGTAATTATGGGTTGATTAAATGTTTATCTTCTTTACAGGTGGGAAGGGAAGAATGAAAATGAAGTGGGACGATGCAAAGAGACTGGCAAGATTCATGTGACAATCAATCACAAGTACTACAGGCCAACTGAAGTGGTAAGAAAATGCCCTCTCTTAGCTTTGCAAATGAATAATCCAATCACTCAGCCAATAAATTGCTGCATTTGGCCAGCAGTCTGTGAAAACAGCTTAATTGCACTCCCGCTGCCAGCTTTTAGAGCTCTAAATTAGCCTGCTTATTGGCCCCCTCACAGCCAGCTACCTGGGAAGAAACAAGTGAGGAGGCGGGAGGAGCGGGTGGCCCTGTCACAGAGAATCTTGGTCAGCCTCTCTGACTGGGAGAGGTGGCGCTGTAGGGGGTAAAACATCGTATGGGAAACAAAACAAAGCGTAAAACATCTCGTTGTTCCTTCCGATTGTGAATGGGAATACGGTCACCTCTCCTCCAGCTATGAGAGCAGAAAGCAGAGGAAGGTGGGCACTGATGAGCTTCATTATAAAGTACCTCCTTCTGTGTTTCATGACAGTGTTTCAACTTCACCCAGTGAGTATCCCCTGTCCAGCTTAGATCTTTGTAGCTATGGGTACTGCAAAATTCCCGTTTTAGAAGTGCACGCGTGCTTTGTTTTCTTGGGTGCTTTGCAGGATCCCACTCAGCAAATGATTGTTTGCAGAACACATCTTTACTCCCAGGAACGCGCCAGTGAAGTCTACCAGGGGTACTAAACCAACACATGCTGCCAGCAGGATCAAGTCACTAATCCCTGTGCTCCCATCACCTAATAAGCATTCTAGGAGAGGGAAAAAAACAACAATATTTCCAGGTCTGGCAGGATGGTGGCAATGTGCAGAGACAGTACAGGACGAAGCCTGGTTTCTGGACACAGGGAACAGTAGCACCAATTGTGCAATGTAGTAGTGGATGTACACAGGAGAGGATGTTCTCCTCTCCTTGGGGGAGTGATACCAGCCCCACTGGCTGCTGACACAGCACCAGCTGTCAGGCGATGAAGAGCTGTCTGATTCAAACAAGGGGGTGACAAGAGCACCTTTGTGTTGCAGGGTGGGAGTGGGGAGCCTGCATGTGTGGAAGTGGACATAGGTTCTAAAATTGAAATTCAGAGGAGAACAGAGACTTTCATGTTATGTTAAAAAGGGCTGGGCCGGTGTATTGCAATCAAATGCTAGGAAGTCATTAAGAGCTGTCGGTCATTCTGTGCTGTGGTAAGGTGTCAGGATGATAAGGAGGACAGAGACAAAAGGACTTGCCAAACAGGAAAAGGACACTTGACCCAACAAGTCTCTGCTTTGTGAGACCCACTTTCCTGCTTTGTCATACCTCTTACTAACAAGTACATATTCGCTCTTCAAAATTCACAGTTAATATGTAGCTGTTTGGAAGCCATCACTGTAGGCTGTAGTTCCACCTTATTCACATGCTCAGATGCTTTCTGCTGAAATAGTGGCGCTCATGGTCTTCTTTTTCTCTGTCCTTATTGGTCTGCTTTTGGGAATACAGTTTCTCAATTTTAAATTCAGTTCACTATACATTTGTCCATTTTGGAATAGTGCATAAGAACACATCTGTCAGGAATACTCATGTAATTTCTAGTGGATCCATATATGCGTATAAGGATGTATTCATATACAGAGTGGATTCTGACCTGGAAATAGCACTGTGTATAAACATGGTGGATGTCTGATGTTTATCTGAAATTACCTGATCTGTCATAGGCCACCTTCCCTTGAATGAGGGCTCTTAATACAGTCCCTACTTGGTTCCTATGGAACCCAAAAAGGCTGTGAAACTGCTCAAGCATGATCAAAGTAGAAGCACAAAATGGGTTTTGAACTACCTTTGTCTTAAGGAACAGATGAACTGTGAGCAAACTCCTCTATGAATAGATGTGGCATCCTTTTCCTGAAATCAGTTTCCTTTTTAGAGCATCTCAGGATGGATACGCAGAATCACTTTCTTTTTTTGAAATTCTGATTTTATTTTCATTCTTTGTCAGAGGCAGGCAAACTACTTTTTGTTTCATTCAGAGAATCACATCTGTGCAATTCAAAATACTAGACCAAATTCCAATCAATTGCACAAAAGCAAGGAAAAGCAACAAAATTACTAAAACAGACTGACAGCACATGTCCCCTCCTGCCACCCATACCAATACTGCTGAAGGCAAGAAAGACTCAGGTTGACGTTTTGGAAGAAGGCATAGCCAGATCAGTTAACAGGAATTCTGCTGTTGAATCCCAACAGACGCAGAAAAGCTGATGCTCAGATTCTCATGTCTTACTTGGAAACATTTCTGTCTGTCTATCTCTCTAAAATTTAACATGGTCTTCTGGAAAGTGAAAATAAACATAATTTAATCTTGTGTACAGTCAGTTCTGACAGTGCCAATACATTCATTTGAAAACACATTTGTTTTCTTCAGTTAGTGATCCTTGGGGTCAAGGCCTCCCATTGAAAAGCTTAGCTGTACTGAAGAAGAAACCTTGAAATGTGAGACTGTCTTCTGGTCAAACTAAGTAGACCCTTTGAATGCCTTGGCTCTAAATCTCTTCACTCTGCTTTTGACTGCTTTGGGGCCCCTTGATATTTACTGGCCTTGGGAATTGTTCCTGCTAATGCTTCCAATGCCTGTCTCTCTCCTTCCTTCCTTGTGCCTTGCCAACTACAAACCTATCAGTATCGTTTCTTTCGGCTTGTATCGAATTCCTATCAGTATCCTTTCTGACCCTTTTTAAATTGTTTTTGGAAACTCTAACCTGCAGTAAGGATTGGAGAAAAGTTATTACTTTTGCCTTTCTTAAAATCAACAGTTTTCACAGGAGCTTCATGGCAAGTTTGCTTTTATACTGAACTTTATACTACACTACGAAAGATGCTTTTATGCATTTTGCAAGCTTTTTAAGCATGTGGCTAGTGAATTCATACTTTACACTAATTTTCTGCCCTAAGCATGTAAAAATCAGTTCCCACTAGAGTTTATTCACCTGTGAAATGTAGGTACTTCAGAAGTTATCTCACTAGTCTTTTCTACTTATGTTACAGTCAGAATGTTCATATTGTAGGTAGGCAACTTAATCTATACTTGAATTTAAATAATCTATTGAGTATTTACAAAAACATATTAAAATTAATTTTAAATTTATTTTAAAAATTAAAACTGAAATTCAATGAACTGCCTCAGTAAGTTGGAAACAATCATCCCTGCAGCACACGACGTCGTAGGCATCAGGTCTCTCAGCCCCTGAAGTTGGGTAATTTTTACAGAATTATGGTCTGTCTTTAATTTTCTTATCTCTCAGCAGGACAATTACTATTAATTTGTATGCATAAATTTCCCTCTAAGAATTGCACAATTGCTTCTAATTAAATTTTGCCGAATAAGCTGTGTGAGTAAAAGTGCTTCTATTATTTTTGCATGGCAGATATTAATCTTACAGTTCTACAGAAGCTTGCTTCATTTCATTGCCCTTTCCTGCAACAATGAAGATTAACCCCAGGTCTCACTGGTGTGTCCTGTCATCACAGAACTTAGATGTATATATCTCTCAGTTAGGAGTTTGTGTTACTTTTTTGAATGGGAAAAGAAAAGAAACCTTTCAACCATATGTAAATGTTTTTTCTCTGAATCTAATGCTCTACATGTGTTACAGGGAATTCTTCCCCTTTCCTCCCACCTGCATCTGCTGTTTTCCTACAGATTGCCTAGTGTAGGAACTGCAGGTTGTATCTGTGCATCACATTTGTTATAGGCTAACATGGCTGTAACTCTGAGGATGCACATGCACATGCAAATTTCCTTTCTTTAAGCAAACCTTGGAAACTCTGTCACAATGTGATGCTAATATTTAAATAATCATCTGGTCTCGTATTATTCTTCAAAGAAAAAAGGTCATGCTAACTTGCTAACTTCTTCCTTTTGTTATACACCTCAACATTTTTCTCCCAGTTCTTTCTAGCACTGATATAAATTAAATATATATGCATATATATATATATATATATATGTGATTTCTCAAGTTTTCTGTGTGTTGCTTTTACTAAACTTTGCATCTTTGCTTAACTATGTTTGGCCTCAGTTACCCTTTTCCCTCCTTGGAATTAAGCAGGATGGCTTTAAATTTCAGTCTCTTCAGATGTTTTTTTAAAAATTCAGCTCTGTATTTCCCATGTTTCATAGGATTCCAGTAAAAAATTCCTTGGGGCATATCACATTCACCCAAAGTCAGCTTTTTTACAGTCAAAAACATTTTTGAACTGCTCTAAGTGTTCCTGCCCTAAAGAACATTTAGAATCTAATGAAACCATAATCACAAACCCCTAAATGCCCCACACTTCCACTTTAGTTTTCATACAAGCTTCATTTCCTACTCTTAAGTTCAGAGCCGCCTGTGACTGTAAACTGTTCAGATATCTGTGTGAGGAAACACATGCTTCCCTTCCTCAAGGACCGTTTTTGCTCATCAGTGTCAATATGTGGCCTGTACTAATACTCATGAAAATTAAATGGGAGCATTTAAGGAAGAATAATCTCAGATGATTTTCCTGTCTATTTTCCTCATTAGCAGCCAGGTAAAGAAGTTGTGAGTTGTCATAATACTGAGAGTATTCTCTCTTTTTTTCCGCTTGTTCTGAAAATATATGTCAGCTTCTGAAAACTATTGCTTCTCTTGTCCTTAGTTCTCCTCCAAGGTGACTTTGCTGCTGTGTCAGCCAAAATGTTTGTATTGTTCCTTTCTTCAAACTCAACATTATCTCTGCATTGCTTTGTCACCCTCTTCCTTTTATTTGTCCCTCCTGCTAATAAAACCTGCAGTAGATTTTGTTTGTTTGTTTGTTTGTTTGTTTTAGTGAAGGCCTTACATATCAGGCATTTCAGAGGTATCTTTGAAAATATACTTATCAAATTCAGCCAACTAAAATAATGATCAGTAGTAACTTGTCTCTGTACAACATCTAAGCAGCACTTAACATATTTTAAATGTTTCTCAACAAGCACATGAAAAAGGTTTTTTAAAAAATAGCATCACTGTCTTTCTGCTTCTGAAACATGTCTGGCAGAGCAAACAGACTACACAGC